TATAATCAAATAAATGAACTGTGTTGGTTTGCATTTCCAATTTTTGATGTTTAAGTCTCAGCTGTTCTGAGAACCTTAGTCTTCACTGTGTACCACAGCTGCAGGGATACTGAAAGCAGCAACATCACATACAATAATGAAAAATGAAACAATAAAATCAAAAAACCAAACAACTTGTTTATGTGATTATTCCCCGCTTGAGTTGTGTGATTATTACTGCCTCTGAATGATGCATGAGCCCATGCACACTTTCATACACAGCATTAAATGAACTGCTTTAACAAAACAAATACTCAACTGTCAATAAAACCAATTAAGTATGCAAAATCTGACCACAGAACTAAAACTTGCTAACACAATGACATGTTCCTTTAAGCCCTTTTGGAGCATATGCAGGCCTCACATCTTCACAACTTGTAATCCTGGTGACACCCTGTGCAATACGATTTACCACAGAGGCTACAAATACTTTGGAAGGTATGCTTGTCTCTACATGGACTAATTACATCACCACAATAGCATGTGTGCAACATGCACTCATCAAACTTCACATGTGTGCAGTAGATATCAAAATAAAGGTGTTATCTGAAGCATAGAAAGGAAGGAAGTTCTATTATTTTTGTTTGAAAGACACCATATAAACTAACCTTCATCCGGTGTGCATTTACAAGATCAACACAAAGCCCATTTCTGTTTATTTATGATTTTTTTTATAAATAAACCTGTTGGCCTATTCATTAGGTGAGATAGATGAGCTTATCAGTCTGAGTCTGTCTGCGTCAAAACAATCACTCGGAACTGTGCAAGGTGCACTCATGAAACCTTATTGATGTGTATTTGGTATCAAAACAGCGGGGGAGTTCAAAGGTGAGCGTGGTTCAGAGCACAATCACAGTAAAGTGTCATAATCTAAGTATGGGATCTAAGTCTGACTTACATAGAAGTATCAAATCTCATTAATGTACTCATTCAGAACACAACAAACATCCCACTGTGATACTCCGTTCATCTGGCTTTTATTTTTGAAGTCCACAGCGGAAGTCTCGGTTTTCAGGCTTGTCACTGGTAGCAACAATAAACCACAAGCACATTATTATTCATTGAGCTTTAGTCCTTTTTCTAAGAAGCTGCAAAACCAGAGCTTGGTTTATAGAAAACTCATTTTGCTGGATTTAAAAGTGAGGAGACATTAAACATGAGCAGCTACTGATATGTGCTGAGGGGTCCTGTCTGTAGCAGCAGGAGCTCACAGTGTCAGTCTGTAGTTGTTTTGCATGCTTTTGGGATTGATGCAGTCAAATAAATAGAAGAAAATATTCAGAGCTTTTCTTTTTTAATCATCTGTATTTTTACTTTTACTTTTTTGAGACGCTTCCTGTGGTTTGGCCTTTAGAGGGCTCACTTACACAGCTGCTTCTGTACTTTAATGGGAGGGGGGTAGGTCCATGATGAAAACAGTCTACAACATAAAACAATGCTGACTGTTAGAGGGAAGCATTTAGTGCTGTTAAGAGTTACCATCTGTTTTTCTCTACTGTTGTGTTTACTTTTTCCACTTTACACCAGGAGTCCAGTCCAATGTCCATACTGTGCTCTGTGATAAACACAGGTCAGTGTTCCAGGATCATACAGGAAAGTGTTCTTGTTTAAATAGGGCTGTGCACAACAAAAGCAAGGATAAATATTCAGTTTTCCCTACTTGGTCTTCTTATGGTCTCTTCTTTCACAAAAAACAATGAAATAATGACAAACGCTTTGGGGCAATTCTGTCTTTTTGCCCTCTTCTCCTTATTCACAGCATTAAGTAAACCATATCTCAGCTTAAACTTGAACTTTTGTACTCTTTTTCTTTTTGTCTGAAAGCTATATTTGGTGGAGTGATGAGATTAATTTGCTAAGAATTTAAAACACAACTTTATTGTGGAATCATCACATGTTCTTTAGGAAGTTTATTTGAAATGAAAAGTGGAATCATCCAATCACATGACAGCAACTCAGTGCATTTAGGCATGCTGACATTGTCAAGATGACCAGCTGAAAATCAAACTGAGCATCAGAATGGGGAAGAAAGGTGAATTAAGTGACCTTGAAAATGGTATGTTTGTTGGTGCCAGATGTGCTGATGTGAGTATTTCAGAAACTGCTGGGATTTTCCCATGCAACTATCTCTATGATTTACAGAGAAGAAAATGAGAAAATATGCTATGAGCAGCAGTTCACTGGGTGGAACTGCCTTGTTGATGTCAAAGGTCAGAGGAGAATGGAGAGACTGCTTTGCGCTGACAGGAAGGCAACAGTAACTCAAAATAATCACTCGTTATAACCAAAGTATGCAGAAGAGCATCTCTGAATCCACAGGACATAGAACCTCGAAGCCGATGGTCTAGAGCAGCACAAGACCACACCGGATGCCCACTCTAGTCAGCTTAGAACAGGAAACTGAGTGTATAATTCACACAGGCTGAACAAAACCGGACAACAGAAGATTGGAAAAATTTTGGCTGCTTTGATCGATTTCTGCTGTGACACTTGGATGACAAGGTCAGAACTCGACATAAACAACATGAAAGCATGGATCTATCCTGCCTTGCATATAGAGTTCAGGCTGCTAATGGCGTGGGCCACTTTTGGCCACTTGAGCGTCACTTAAACATCACAGCCTGTAGCCGATTGTGTCCATCCCTTTATGACTACAGTGAAATTATTTTCTAATGGCTCCTTCCTGTGATAAAAGCTATTAAAGTCTGACCAAAGTGTCTAACTAAAACACTTTTCATCGCAAACGCTGTCTCGTGTTTCATCTTGTACAGCATGTCTTCAAACTGCGGTGGTGTCCAGGGTGGAAGAGAGGGACCCAAATGCAGCACACATAGGCAGACTAAAACGAAAGAGAGACATTTATTGACCCATATAAAGTCCAAATGGATAGATCCAGGGAATATCCAATATACACAAACAATACATAACAAAAACCCACAGAAATAAAACAGCTGCAAAAAAAGGAAACATGACCTGGGAATTATATTTGCCTTATACACAGCAAAATCTCCAGTGTTAAATTAACACTGGAGAGTGTCTATATGGGTCCACACCTCTGAGTGTTAAATACAACACTGTTGAGTGTTAAATTAACACTTTTGACAGTGTTATATGTTTAAAAGTAACCTAGTCAGTTTTGAAGATTAACAAAGACTAACACTGAGCAGTGCTGATTTTCTAACACTGGAAAATAACTCAAAATGTTAGAAATATTCCAGTGTTAGAAAATCAGCACTGCTCAGTGTTAGTCTTTGTTAATCTTCAAAACTGACTAGGTTACTTTTAAACATATAACACTGTCAAAAGTGTTAATTTAACACTCAACAGTGTTGTATTTAACACTCAGAGGTGTGGACCCATATAGACACTCTCCAGTGTTAATTTAACACTGGAGATTTTGCTGTGTATTATCTGATGATTAGGCCCCTACTCATAAGATGTGGTTAGCTTTTGGGGAGTCCCATTTAACAAATGGCTATCTTGTCTATTATGTTGGAATTTGTATTTTTGATTGATTTGCGAATAAACTAAACTAAACTAAACTAAACCCTTTGACAAAAAGAAACAAAGCCAAACAACCCAAACAATCATACCATCTGAGGAGCATCACAGGTGGCTTATTTAATTTCATATATATAACGAATTTAAACCCTACGTGAGCTTTTACTATTACTGTTTTTCAAAGAATTCGCTTAAATACAGATCAGAATAAAGATCTCTGCTGAGAGGAGCTACCCCCTCCTCAGCAGCGGCAGCAGCAGCGCCCCTCTGTGCTGTTGTGAGTTACGTGGACACGTACGTGCGTGTTATTTACATCGTGGTGTCGGGCTGGCTGCTCGCATGTGCCGCTGCCCGTCTCCTTTGTCCTGCTTCACAGCTTCACTGGGTGTCATGGGCTCTGCCTGCAGGGAGAGGAGCTTTGTCACTTCCCTCATCACACTGGATCCCTCGCCGCAGCAGTCCTCATCACCATCACCATCGCATCGCGAGAAGAGTCACAGCCTCTCAGTCTTCTTCGGAGGCACAATGACCGCGTTCCCGTAGGCTACACCATGCGAAGTGTGCCCACCTGAAACAGGCTGGGAATGCAGCATCCTTTGAGCCCTTCTGTTTGGGTTCCTGCTGCACTGGTTTCCTGCGGATGATGCGCGGAGGAGTTCGCGGCGTGTTTATGTCTCACTCTGCTTTGGAAAGCCCCCATCCCATCAGGAGATCCATGCACCACCGGTCTTTGTGTTGTTGTTATTACCATGTCCCCAGCATCGGCTGCAACGGCAAGTGAAAGCGCCACCGCCACCACCACCGTCCCCGAGGAGGAGACGGAAAGCCCCCGGGAAGAGGTAAGAATTGTTTGCAGTAAATTAAGGCTTTTGAGTAGTGTTGCATGTTTAAGTGACAGGCTGCCTCTGTGCATGCTCACTGTAATAATCTCACTGTAATAATCATTTGGCTTTTTTTTTTAGATTATGATTTAAGTGTTTGCACAGCACTTAAAGCGCTTTATTTGCCTATTATACGAACCCATGCGCGCACTCGAGCGTGTGAACGCCATGATTACGCTCCTGTGTCCTCCGGGCAGGCTTCCAAAATTAGGTTTAAGAATCTATCACGGTCCAATCAGGTACACGAAAGTGTTAAAACAAAAACTTACTTTGCTCATATCTTTCCAGGAGATATTGAAAGTCACGCAGCATTTAAGAGACATGTTGACGTTACTAGGGCGGGGAGAAGTGAGATGTTGTATTGGGGGGGGGGGGGTCTGTAAATTTCCCTTAAGGGAAAAACTAAAACAGATTTGGAAACATAAGGACTCAACAGCAGTTTTCCTGAATTAAACTATAACACCCAATTCCTCTCCTTCTTCTCCAGTCTTCCCCTACATGCACACATGCTGGGCAAGTTACATATCCATTACACAAGAGAGTCTTTTTATATAACCTAGCTGGTCTTATTATGTCAAGAGAAAGTGTCCATGACTGCGAGAGGCACTAAAGGCACCACGGCAGCCTCCTGAATGTGAAGACTGTACAGATTTGAACCTTCTTGAAACTGTTTTTCCTTTTAACAATAGCCACTTTCATATTAAAATCTATGACTCCTATGAGTGCAAACTGTAAAATTACATTAGGATATAAGCACGTAAGGAAGTGATTCTCAGTTGTTGCTTTCATGCAAAGGGAATTTTCACTAAATACAAAACAACACTGAAACCAAATATTAAAAAATGATACAAGAGCCTTCAGCTAACTGTACACAGAAGACTTTTAGAGCTGTTTCATACAATAACTGCCTTAAATATAAATGTAACTCACTACAATTAAAAATGGATTCTCCTTTCATATTTTAGGACCAGCGCAAGGTTTTTCTAACACATTTTTAATCAGATTGTAACATGCAGAGATGCATTTGCTTTGCAAGCACATAATCAGAACGATATCTCCTACTGCACAACTGTTCATCATTAACCTCGAGCCTGTAAAATGTAACACTGGCCACAAAATGTGCCACGTAGTATTGATTGTAATTTTCGAACGTGGCCAGAATGCTGGTGAGCGAGCACTCCTCCTGCAGGAGGTTTATCTCAGTGGGGAATTTCACTGTTAATCCCTTTTGCTCTGTGGGGTGTAGCCTTGGGTTGGCAGTGTGCTTGAAGACCATGTGACCAAGGTCGGGAAGTTAATTATGATGCAAGAACATTGATTATTTATGCTCGTCTATCACTCGAAGAGCACAGAGCTGACATGTCGAGTTCAATAAATCAGCGCTGTGATAGAGCAGATGCTTTTTTTTTAAAAAATGTGGTGTTTAGAGGCGACCTATAGATCAAAATCTAGACATTTACAGTCTAATCTGAAGTGTTAGAAGTGAGGTCTGTCATGCAAATTTTTTTTGAATGAATTTAGTGATAATCTTCCCCTTCCTGGGACTTTTGAATCTCTGCCAGGTTTTGTGTGGCTGTGCTCCTGCAGGGCGTAACCAGCTCTCGAGCTCTTTGATGCAGCCGCTGGGGCTTGCTGTGCCCCGAGGAGATAAAGGATGGCACCATCTAAATGCTGCCCAAGTCAGACTACAGCCTTTTTTTCTGCCTGTCTGCCTAAATGTTTTTGACTCTTTAAAATCATATCAGTTCTTTCAAGTCTTCAACTCTCACGTGACAACAGGATTTCTTTTACATTTTAATGGTAATAATGAAGGAATCGTCTGATTATAACATGCACAGAGCAAGAAATGAGCAGTTGGCTCTTGGCTCATGCATAAACTATGCAAAAGCACTTACAACGAAGAATATTTCCTTAAATATTTTATACACATGAGCCGCTGCTCCTTAACTTTTTGCCTACAGGTATTTAGGTTGTGTTCATCAATGCCACATTAAAATGTGCCATTCATTTAAATCTTCAGGTATAGGTTACTCCTTCTTATATTATTATGTTAATACCTGTGTTTGTAATCGTTTTTTTCTCTCTTTTGCAGCAACAGCCTCAGAAACAGTCTCTGACTAAGTCCTTATGTCAGGAAACTCACTGGAAATGCCTGCTGCTGTCACTGCTGATGTACGGCTGTGTCGGGGTGATGGCCTGGTGCCAGGTGACAGAGGTCACACGCCTCACCTTCAATAGCGCCTACAAGGGAAACTCTATGATGTACCATGACAGTCCCTGCTCCAATGGCTACATCTACATCCCCCTGGCCTTCCTGGTCATGCTCTATGTGGTCTACCTGGTCGAATGCTGGCACTGCTACACCAGGAATGAGCTGCAGTACAAGGTTGATGTGGACAGCGTGACGGAGCGCATACAGCGCATGCAGCAGGCTACGCCTTGCATCTGGTGGAAGGCCATCAGCTATCACTATGTCAGGAGAACGCGACAGGTGACACGTTACCGTAACGGAGATGCCTACACCACTACACAGGTCTACCATGAGAGAGTAAACACCCACGTAGCCGAGGCGGAGTTTGACTACGGTAACTGTGGGGTTAAGGACATCTCGAAGAACCTGCTGGGCCTGGATGGTTTCCCCATCACCAAGCTGAGGTTCACCAAGTGCTTTAGCTTTGCCAATGTGGAGTCTGAAAACTCCTACCTGAACCAGCGGGCCAGGTTCTTTACAGAAAACGAGGGCCTTGATGATTACATGGAGGCACGTGAGGGGATGCACCTGAAGAATGTCGACTTTAAGGAGTATATGATTGCCTTTTCTGACCCTGATCACCTTCCATGGTATGCTTCCAACTCCACCTTCTGGGTAGCGGCTGCTTTCACCTTGTCCTGGCCTATGAGGGTGCTGACAGAGTATCGTACTTCCTGTGTGCACTACCATGTGGAGAAGCTGTTCGGCTTTGACTATGTGCCAGTAACGCCATCTGAGGAGCGGGTGTATTGCAGACACATCCCACGGGTCAACACAATTGACAGCACAGAGCTCGAGTGGCACATCCGCTCCAACCAGCAGCTAGTGCCCAGCTACTCTGAGGCGGTTCTCATGGACCTGGCCCAGCTCTCAGGGAGCTGTAATAGCTACTCCTTATCCGGAGGCTACGGCAGCTACAGGCAGAACTGCGAACGCTGCCACCGTGCCATAAGCAGCTCCTCCATCTTCTCCCGAAGCGCCCTCAGCATCTGCAACACTGGGAGCCCCCGCATCCCGTTCAGCGCCAGCCGCTTCTCGCTGGGTCGGCTGTACGGCTCCAGGCGGAGCTGCCTGTGGAGGAGCAGCGGGAGCCTGAATGAGCAGTCGTGTCCCACAGAGAGCACGCGCTGTCTGTCAGGCCAGCAGGCCAGTGAGGAGAACCCTCCAGCCTATCAGGACGCGCTGTACTTCCCAGTGCTCATCGTGCATCGCAACGAAGGCTGCCTCAACCACGACCACCGCTCGCTGCACAGAAATGGCTCCTGTGTAGAAACTTCACTCTGATGACACGAGCTAAGGCCAAGGAAACTCTTCATACATGGACTCTTGTGTCTCTTTAACACAGAGATTTAAAAAAAAAAGAGCATTCTCTGAGTTACCACAATAAAGGATTTGTTAACATTTCTAAACATACTGTCACCTGACACAAGAGCAATTACAACAAAGTATGTGTGTGGAATTTATCACTCAATACATCAGGGAAAAACAGACCCGATGAGACTGTTGTTTAAAATACAGCGAGGCTTTAAAGGATACTGGCAAAGTGTCATGTGCAGCCCTAAAGAGTCTGTTGAGATTCAGATAACCAATGAAAATCAAGGGCCATCCCGTCCTAGTGTAAATGCCATATTTACAGATCTTAGTCACAGACAATTTACAAAGATATGAGTAACATTTCCCGGTATATGAAGCCTGAAATGGGCTTTGACTCAGCAGCAAATGAAAAAATTAAATGGATGCCAAACGAGAAATGGAACGCAAAGATAAGCAACCTTGTCAAAACACACTAACGAGACTAAGTAGTTTTGCTGAAACCAAACACCCTAACCCTCTCATGGCTCTTATCAAAGTGAAGTCAGTACAGTCGACAAATACAGAAATCTGCATGTTAACACATTTTGATCCTGGATGATTTAATGTCTCCATTCAAAGTTAATGCTCATGGAAATCCATTCAAAGAGAAAAAAACTGAAAATAAATGTGCGGATAAAACATTCAGTCAGCTGATATGTGCTTGGCTGCAATGACATTAAACTCCATGGCTCGCCAAATATAGCACAGGAGGAGTTTGAATAATTTAGCAGACGAGGGCTGAAGGACACGAGGATTTAAAACTGATTCATAAACACTTCTTTAAACTGTTCAAACTGTACATTTTGTAAAGCAGTAAAAAATACCCTCACTGCACTGCTGAGAAATCAGTGTCAACTCCGCCAGTTTAAAATCTTAAAGATCCATTTAGGTTCGTGTTGGGCAATATTTTCATTGAGCCTACCTCTTTATTTAAGTGCCTAGCATCAACCGTTACTGACAAGCACAAGCTGCAATGACTTCTCATCTCATCTCACTATCCTCCCATTAAAACAAGCAGAAGAACACATCAAGGTTATTGAAAACATAGGCAAAAATCCACAAGTTTGTAAGAATCAGACACAAAATGCTTTTCAGATTTCTTTTTCACATTACTCACACAGCCAGCCCTGTGCTGCTGCTGCTGATGCATATCAGAGAGACAGCTAGAGAGCTGGCCATCGAAAACACTCGAAATAGGCAGAGGCCTGGATTCACTACTGATAGTGTCAGATTTAATTATATAAAAGGATTACTTTAAAACACTAAAACCTACTTCCTCTCAGCTGAGTGCATGCGGTATCTGATGGGAAATTTACTTTTGCAGCCAAGAACCGAAGCAGTGTTTAATGCAAACAGTGACAAAAGCCACTCCCCGCAGCACAACCCATCGCTCAAAGTTTGGTTTATTTCTTCCAGCACTCCTTAATATTTTTGGACAGTCATTTAGCCACTTGAAGGAATGGAGGTTAAGCATAGAGGACGTCCATAACAACAGATATACATGGATCATACTGCCATTACGGCCATCACTGAATACTATGAACCTCACCTGCGTTTAGACATTTGGTGTTGAGATTTGCCTTCCCGATAAAGTGATCAATCAGCCATACTCATTACATTCCATGTGTGTTGTTGTGTTTGGAGCTGTGGACTGAGACACAACCCCCTCATAACAGACTGAGTCACATTTAACTAACAATTTTAACCTGTTTTCACAACTCAAGGTCATCTATGCAACCTCACCCCAAACTCAGGATAGCATTCAGGTCAACGATTCTGCTTGCAACAACATCCCGATAATCACTCATGTTCTCATCTGCACATAAAGAAGGCGGAGGTGCAGATGCAAACATCTCCAGTCATTGAGTTTCACTTCTGCACTCGCTATTCATAAATCCATCACTTAGTCTGTGTGTAAAGGTTCGGTAAACTGCAACGTTTTAAAGTCGATTTTTGCTAAAATTGATTCCACCATGAAATACAAGAAAAATGCGGTATCTTAGCATGAAAAAGAGGTTATTACCAGAGAAATCTTCCACTAGAAAAAACATCTGCATTATCAAAGAAAACAAAACAACTCTTCAGAATAATACGTCTCATATTACCTCTCTAACAACTTAACGCGGTGGGTTATGAACAGCTTCAGGCTCCTGTATTCAAGATGCTAACACCAAAATCTCACCTGAAATCTTGAGATAGGGGGACATTTATGACAAGTGTTTGAAATAAATTAGTTTAATCACAGAAAAACTGAAGTGTACAAATGGCAAGTTATTATTTTAGGCTCTCTATACATCTCTATTTTCGGTGGTTCCAGTGTGTATGGTAAACTATTCACAGAACAGATGTCAGTGATCTGAGCTAAAATGGCTGGGAATCAATTGAGCTAACAAGTTCATTTTTAGCCCATTCAGATTCTTTACTTATTTTGTAGCTGTGAAGGACTGGATCACAACCAAGCTCGTGCTGGTCAGAAGTCAGAGACTCAAGTGGACTTGCATGACTCAGAGGACAACACAAATAACAGCATGCAGTCTCCACGGGGCATTTAAATGTACCGAAATGTCTTTTTTGTTATGTTAATCAAAATATAGGAGGATGCACCAGATGTCAATGCTAAAGTCACTGTGCCACTCTGAAATCATCACAATCTCTCCTTCATCATCATCATCAAGCCTCTCAGGTGGCTTCACTGTGATATTCATACATAGTCCCATGTAAGAATAGAAAAAAGTGTTTACCCGTGAAATGTTTACGCAGCAACAGAAACAAGCTATTTGACCGATTACAATCTGACTGAAAGTTTTAAAGCTATACACTTTTCCTCTATAGATGACTGTTAGAATAACATTTCTGCAAAGAAAGCAGCTATAGCCGTTATCATGTCTTATGAGGTAGATTAGGCTCGTACGATGATTTGTATTCTTTCACTCAATGATGCTTTGGGCCTCATCTTTTATACTTCCATAAATCTGTGGATTTTTAACATTGTAGAGCAGGATGGCTTTGTACTGTAAATAAATAGAGACAGGAGTGTAGAATGTCAGTCGATGTGGATATTGTGTGCACACATGCACACAAACACACACTTAACTGGAGCAGGGACAGATTTGATGTGTTGCTATTAAATGGAGAGAAGCAGAACAGTCCCCCTAAAAAGGCTGTTTTGGGATGGTTTTGTTTCCCTTCAAACACGTTTTTAATCATTTTAGAATACTTTTTTAAAAATACAAATGCTGTTGGTGTGATTTGACTGCTTTGGGATAAGGTATATCTAAGCATAAACATATGCTTAGTGATTACTAAGGATCTAAATATAATAAATCAGTATTCTGTCATAGATTTTTCTGCTTTTTGGCTAAATTAGTCCAGAATAACCTCTCTTCAAATGGCTCTGGAGACTGATTTGTGATTTTAGGTGTGACACCTGTGACATACACCTGATTCATGGCTATGACTGTAAATTACATCTGACTGATAATTTTGTTGCCGCCTAGTTCAAGAGTTACACTATTTACCAGTAGATTATAGGTAAAAATAAAACAATGCAAGTCTGTATGTATTCCAACACCATCACGACGTTGCCTTGATGTTACATAAGGACTGAATACCAAACATGTGTATCAAAGTAGAACAAAAAACTCAATAAACTGAAATGCTCACTAAAATATCTGGTCTATTTGTTTAAAAATACACAACAGACATGCCAGAAAGACTATGATCACTGATCTGAGGTCAACTGATGCAACCAGTGTTGCATGTTTGTCAGCCAAAGGAAACTTTTGATACTGTCAACAAGTGTAGTAAATAGAACAGAAGCAACAGTGTGCTGGTCCATCCCCTCGGTCCCAAGCTCATTGGTTCCTGTTGCTTCATATGAATCAAAGCAGGACATATTTATTCACACTTACTCATTGTCTAAAAAGTCTCAGCTGGAAGATTTCTGGAAATGTTACTCGAACTGGAGTAAATGTGAGTTGTGATGTTGTGATCCCTCCCCCTGCTGGCTACGCAAAGTAGGTAGATCCCGATATAAACTTTGCTCAACTTGCAGGAGACTGTTTGAAACAACAACTAATGACAGCGCAGGATACCCATGATTGATACATGACCTGGTCTGCCAGCAACCAATCATCTGCTTCAATCATTATGAATTAAGTAGATATCAGACAACTCATTTGAGATAGTTTAAAGATCTTAATGACACATCATATCCTGCATTTTTCTTACGTTAGAATTAATGTAGGGCTCACTTACATCTGTTGTGTTTTAGACCAAATTTGGTTGAATTTTTGCTGCATATTTTCATTTATTGTGGTTTTAGATGAATACGTTCATCTATTGCAAAGACAGACGGCTGATAAAGATGGGTTTATATTATAAAAACCATCAGTTGGCATTCTCAGTATTCTTCTCTCTTGGGTTTGTTTCTTGTTTTCTAAACTGGTTGTTCCAAACCATTTGGTTAATGACGGAAACTCTCTGCTCTTCGATGTCTGTCAGGTGGATATTGCATTCTGTCACACTGGTGTTGTGAGACATCGCCTCCTCCAAAGCGTTCCCTCCAACCTGCACAAATGCAAACACACACACACCTAAAAGCTCTGCTGATGGCCTCAATAACCTTGAAAAACATCTCACTGCTAACCTTGCAGTTCGAAATACGGCACACTTTATAAGCTCCCCTTTGCTGGTGCTACCAGTCTTTTGCTGTTTTTTTTTTTAAAACAGGCATTTCTATTTCTGAAACCAAGGTCAAAAATATTGATGGTACTGCATGTTGGATTTCTGCTATGTGGGTGATTTTTGATCCTCCGCAGTGTATTCCAGTCAGAGATACAATATGCAGTTAAAATCCGAAGAAGAGAGAGCATGAGAAGGGGGAATTCAGATCTACCTCTCTTGGGGAAACAACACTTACTCAGTTTTCCATTATTACATGTTTTCCCACACATATCTATGAATAATTGAAAATCCTAGTACTTTACAGCTGCTCTGTTGACTTCACTGTGCTGTGTCTGCACAGGCGTGAGCATGCTTTGAGAGTTGTTCAAAATAAACCAGCATTCCAAAGCTGACAAATTTAACAAGAAGAAGTAATAAGTGGTTACAGTGAAACCATAACTTAAAATAACAGTTTCACTCTTCCTCTCTGTCAGTTAATTTTTGACAGTTTTTAATCTGCATGGCTTTCGGGATAACAGCAAACCTATCTATCTATCTATCTATCTATCTATCTATCTATCTATCTATCTATCTATCTATCTATCTATCTATCTATCTATCTATCTATCTATCTA